TGTCCAATACAGTAGCCACTAGCCACATATGGCTATTTAAATTTAACTATTTCTTTCTGAGTGAACACTTCAGTTTCTAGGGTTAGTTACATGGATGATGTGTCTCTTGGATACTACTGCCTTGTCCACTGGACGAGTTTTTGGGTTTTGTTTTTTGTTATCTGATTAGAATTTTTTAAAATTTAGAAAGCAATTCCTCAGTCACATGAGCCACATTTCAAGTGCTGCGGAGTCCTCTGTGGCTAGGGGCTGATGGTATTGGACAGTGCAGAACATTTCCATCACAGAAGTTCTGTTGGACTCTATGGCTCTAGGCCCTTAAAGTTTCATCAACTTGATTATAAATCAATAAAAAATGTTAAAAAAAAGATTCATCAACAGAGATGGCCTTGCCCTCAAGAATATGAGAACAGACACAAGAAAAGAGGAAAGATAAAACAAGGGCTTCCACTGGGAGATCCACAGGAATGATCATGTTTGTCAGGTCACAACATCCAACCAAAATGAGGCACCTAGAGAGCTGAGGAGAGCAGCCTGAGTGGCTTACCTAAAATGTCAACTTCCCTTGGTGGCCATTGACAACATTTTTTCCAAACTCGTTTTTAATATAGTCATTTCCTGCTTGTGGATTTCAAATTCTTTAACTTTAGAATCCATTATGTTCAACCAAAATGCAGCACAGCATCATAGTACATGGACTCTGTAATCAAACTGCCCCCCTCACAAACCAGTTCTAAGGTTTACTAGCTTGGGTGACCTTGGCTTACTGGGTTATTCATTCTCATAGAACCTATATTTCCTCATCTGTAAAATGGGGATATCTGGAATCTACTTCCCAAGTTTATTATAAGGATCATGTGAAATAATACTAACAAGACATAAACGTGTCACGAAATAGTGAGTAATCGATAAATATTAGTTCTGGTTTTCTCCAAGCTTAATCTTATTTGGATTTCAAAAAAAGCCCTCAACAGGGATTGGTGGAGATGTGTAAACATTTTATCCTTTCCTGCCTCCATTTTACAAGTCTCCTTCATGGCTGACTTCAGCTCTAATCTCTTCAGGTTCTTCAGGGTCCCCCAGCACTTTGATCTGGCAGTACCTGGCTCCAGTGTGGCTACCCAGAGCCTGGTACCAGAGTATGAGTACTTTTATCTCTGGTGAAGCCACTCCACTCTCCTTTTCTATTCCTGAGCTTGCCTTCATTGCTTAGGCTCAGACCCCCTAAGTACTAAGTGTGTTCCTAGGAGAAAGAGAGATCACAGGAGGCCAGAGTCTCAAACTCATGGGGAAAATTTAGAGATTAGAGTGAGATAAAGAAACATGTGAAGCTAAAGATGCAGGGGCTGACTCTTGTTTGATGGTGTTTCAGCTTAATGGGTTAAGGTCGGGGGCTTGTATCTGAGTGTTGCCTGCTCATCAGCCCATGATTAGACATTAGAGTGGGTATAAGCCAGGATCTGTCTCCTCAGGGCTGCGTGAGAAACACACGATATAATAGATGTGCACATTCCCTATAAATTTAAATTCCTAATGATGTTGGAGAAGCTGTGCCCCAGGCAGCTCCTTTAAGAGGACGGTTCCTTTAAGAGGCGGGCACCAGCCTTGCTAACAAAGGAAGTCCCCGCCCACGGTTGCCAAGGTGCTGCGTGGCGTCGCATTCTCATTGGTGGGCGGCGGTGGTGAGGCAGCCAGCGGCAGCCATTTCCAACAAGCTGGCGGGGGCGAAAGATGGCGACACCCGTCGGGTGGTCGCAGGGGGGGTCAGGATCGGTGTGTCTCGCCTTCGATCAACTGCGGGACGTGATTGAGTCTCAGGAGGAACTGATCCACCAGCTGAGGAACGTGGTATGCAGCCAGAAGAGCTGGGGGAGAGGCCGGAATGGACGCCTAAATAGTGGGGGCGGTGCCAGACCCTGTCCCTATGCCTGGGGCCTGCCGAGAGCACAATGCCAGTGGCGTCATCAGGAGGAGGCGGGGCACGGATGTGTTCTGGCTGATAGGGATGGAGCCAAAAAGGTGCAGGGTCTTATGACTATTTACCGGGGAATTTTAGACAAAATCAAGTTATTCTCTACTCTATTTGCCTGATTATACAGGTCCCAGTAGATATGCCCCCAGTTTATTCACTAAGCTTCAGTTCCCCGTTTCTAACTGGAGATGTCTTCACTGACTTCCCAAGGCTCTTGCGTACCTAAAAACTGTAACATCATTCTTATTTTGGAATCTCCTCCCCATGCTGAGTGCAGTAAGCACAGAATTGGCTCTTCACACGTTAACTTAAGGGCTTCCAAGTCCTTTATGTCCCTTTATTTTTGACTTGCCAATCAAACCCCAGTTCATGGGTGCAAAGCATTGGAGCCGTAGATTATCTGGACAGGCATGGTAGAATCCTGGCCAACTAAGAGTTTATGGTTTTTCTGTGTTTTTTTTTTCATCTTGATAAGAAGGTTGGGAAATATAAAACTTGGGGGGGGCGTGGGGTAGGTAATTACGTTTATTTATTTACTTATTTTTAATGGTGGTACTGGGTACCCAGGACCTTGTGCATGCTAGGCATGCACTCTACCACTGAGATACCCCCTCCCCTGGACATATAAAACTGACTACACATCTGTTTCTGACTCTAACGGTTGTATGCAGCTCTGGGCACTGAATCTTGTGGAGCCTTTAGGTACCCAGGTCTCTGTGTTGGCAGCTGGCCTTTGCATGCGTGTTCCCTTTGTCTGGAACATTTTTCTCTTTTATCTTTCTGGCCAACCCTATTTAATAGTCAGATCTCAGGTCTGACACCCTCTTCCCTTGAAGCAGTTCTGACCCTTCCCCAGGCTGGGTCAGGGGCCTCTGGGCACCACAGCCCTTTGCGTTCCTCCATCATAGCACACATACTGTTAGAAATGGTGGCCATGGGCTATATCCTCCATGAGATTGGTTGCTCCCTGAGGGCAGGACCTAGAACTGAGCCTCAGTCAATCTCGTGAAAGTGAACTCTCCCTTCCCTGGGCCTCAGTATCATCCTAGGTGTCCTGGGCATCATCCCATTATCATCCTTGCTCCTGGTCCCTAGAGAACACCCCTCCCAGCCCAGCCCCAGGCCCTCCCTGAGCCTGGCTCTGTTGCAGATGGTTCTCCAGGATGAAAATTTTGTCAGTAAGGAAGAGTTCCAGGCAGTGGAGAAAAAGCTGGTGGTAAGTAATGGCCTCTGCTGGCTCCTAATTTTCCCTTATTTCCCAGGATCACTGTGGTTGGGCAGAGTCATTGAGTATTGGCCTCTGAGAGCTTCCAGCCCCAGTAGTGAATATCCCTGTACCCTGGCCTCTTTGTGCCCCTCTGAGAAAGAGGGTTGGTTAAGGGAGCCTAGGAGACCCAATGTAGCTTGGGGTAATGAGGTCACTTGCTGCTGCCCCTGCAGGAAGAGAAAGCTGCCCATGCCAAGACCAAGGTCCTCCTGGCCAAGGAAGAGGAGAAGTTGCAGTTTGCCCTTGGAGAGGTAGAGGTGCTGTCTAAACAGCTGGAGAAAGAGAAGCTGGCCTTTGAAAAGGCGTGAGTAGGCCTTGGTAGTGGGGGAAGGGTTGGGGTTTCCATCTGCCCATCAGCCTTACCACCCTTTCTTATCTTCTCCACTCAGGCTCTCCAGTGTCAAGAGCAGAGCCCTGCAGGAGTCCAGCAAGAAGGACCAGCTCATCACCAAGTGCAATGGTAGGCGGGAGGCCCGAGCTCCCTCCCACGCTTACATACATGGGCTCTTCCCTAACTGCCCAGTGCCTGTATCCAGGGCAGGGTTTCACCCCAACTTCTGTCCCCGGCTGAGGATACAGGCAAGCCCAGGCGGGCCACACCTTCGCAAAGGCCTTCAGGGACCAGGCAGGCCACGGAAATGAGGGAAGCGATTGGTGTACAATATTCTTCGTGGCCATAAAGAAACGGGCTTGCTCCCATTTTTCTTGAAACATACAACCTTCTTAGTCCACCTTTTTGTTTTCCCACTTTTGGTGAATATTAGAAATAGTGTATTTTACTCATAACTCTGTTACCAGAGGAACAACAGGGGAGGCACAGTCTTATCTGGAAGCTGACCCCTAGTGTCAGGGTTGGGGACCCAACAGGGAGGAGTAGGAACTGATAAGGTGGATAGCTGTACTCCGTCTCAAGGGCTTAGTGCCTCTACTGTGGGAATAGGGGCCCAGTACTATCAGATCTTTCAAAAAGAAACTGGAAACCAGATTTTAATGGAAGCTTTTCTGACTTTTTAGTCTTGGCAACTGATTTAGAAACTTTTTAAGTATTGTATGGGCCAAGGAAAATATGTCCGTAGGCCATATGTCTGCTCTGTGCAGATGCCTTTGGACGCTTGTTGGCTCAGTTGGTGCTGTGAATTGTGGGGCACTTTCAGTCAGCTACCCAGTATCTCCGGACCTCAGGAACCCCTTTACTTTTCCCAGAATGCTAAGCTCCCTATACCTAGTTTAAGAAGTAGATTTGAATTCCATATGCAACATCTTCATTCACTGAAGCATTTTGAGTAGGCCAAAGTTCAAACCCAAAAGAGGTTCAGGATTTCTTCTGAAGGGCCCCCACCTGGAGCATTGGGCACCCCCTACCCACCAATGCTGCCTTCTCTCTCCCCTGGTGAGTACCCTCACTGGTAAGATGCCAGCAGGCTGCCATCTTGATCTGGCTAAGTGGACTAACAGGCGTCATGGTTGTTTGATCAGGGGTTCCTGTTAGGGCCTTTTGGGGCCCAAAAGGCAGACACTGCCTCAAAACCCAAGGATGCTAGTCCCATAGTCCTTCTCACTTCCCTGGGCATTGCCCCTACTTCCCTGAAAGGAATCTAGGGTTCTTCCCTGGTGGTCCTGGAGGCCCTTCCTCTGGGCCATTTCCTAGAGATCAGCCAAGGCCTCGGGTCTCTGTCTGCTTATGGTAAGTTTCTGTGAGTCACAGAGACGAAGCCTGGCTGCCTCCCCCAAGAATGTTCTGAACCCCTCCAGTAGGGTATAAGCTGTCACCTGAGCAAATCTGGTGACCTGAGCCACCCCCTGGCCTGTGTCCTCCTCCTGCCAACTTTGGTTTCAGTTTGGTTTTTTGGGGTGCCATTTATTTCAAATTTATCCCTCATTTATTTTAAAGGATTCACACAAATTTCTGATTTCTTTTTCCCCATAAGAACTTCAGAAGCAATCGGTTTGGATTGGCTGGGTGACCTGGGGAAGGAGTTTCAGTCCTGGTCCTGTGACCCAGTGAGCTCATGTTTTCATTCTTTTCCTTCACCAGTGTCTCTCCTCTTTTCCACGCTATGCCTTAACTTTTTACCATATCTTCTCTTCTGAAACCTTAAATGCTTCAACATTTCTGCATTTTTAGAGTTTATGTTCTAGTTAATCTTTGTCCAACCTTTAAAGGCAGCAGGATTTTCTTCCTTCGAGGATCAGAATTTTCGAGTGCTCCCCGAGGGATAGTTGTGTAAATGAAGCAATCCCAGATCCCTACAGCCTCATTGGATTTTAACCCAAGACACAAAAATCATCCTTGCATCTAATGAGCACTTAATTTGGGGATAAGTTTTGTCATTCTATCTCTCTGGCTCCTCCTTATTCCTCTGTATTCTCTCCTGAAGCCCTGGCACAGAACTGGGCATCCAGCTGACCTTCAGGAGGTCTGGTTGGATTGAGATGACTGAATTAGGTGATGTTTCTGAGACATAACCCCCCAGGGGACATCCTGTTTATTCATTCCACAAATAAATGTATTGTGCATCTACTATGTGCCAGATACTGTTTTAGGCATTAGGGTTAAGGCAGTGAATAAAACAAAAATCCTTGTCTTTGTGGACCTTACATCCTAGTAGGGGAAAAGACAAGTGAGTAAAATCCGTGGTTTGTGAGATAAGTGCTAAGAAGAAAAATACAGCAGGAAAAAGGGATGGAAAGTATTGGGAAGGGTTGTAATTTTAGAATAGGAAGGGTCTCTCCAAGGAGGTGATAGCTCTAAAGAGCTGCAGGAGTTGAGGGCAGGAGCTGTTCATCCTCTTGCCTTTGCCCATCTCTCTCCAAGGGCCTTTGCACGCCCTCATGTGAGTCACCTGGTCTAGAATAGAGTTGTGAAGTCACAGATACATTCATCAAAATGTTGTGACTCCCCAGCCCCACCCCATCAGGACTCCATAAAAGACTCATTCTTACTAAGGTATTAGCAACCATTCATGGAGAACCCCTGGGTGGAGGGAGCCAAGTTCTGAAAAGACCCATGAGGGAATTCCTTATCTCAGGAAAGAGCCCATGGGATGGGAACCACTCCTCCCTGCCTCTCTCCCCCACAGAAATTGAGTCTCACATTATAAAGCAAGAAGATATACTTAATGGCAAAGAGAATGAGATTAAAGAGTTGCAGCATGTTATCAGCCAGCAGAAAGAGATCTTCAGGTGAGGGGTTCGGGTCAGGCTGGGGGTTGTTGAAGGAATTGGGGAGCCAGACTTCTGGCCCCTACCCTGGGCTGTCCCCAGCCCACGCCCAGCTGGCTCCGTTGCAGGAATCACATGTCTGACTTCCGGATCCAGAAGCAGCAGGAGAACTATATAGCCCAGGTGCTGGACCAGAAGCATAAGAAAGCCTCAGGGACGCGTCAGGCCTGGAGCCACCAGCGTGCCAGGGAAAAATAAAATGGTCGTCGCCTTTCTGTTCTCTGGCTGTAATGCCCGACCTCTGCCTTCTTTGCTGTGGAATCCCCATCCTGACCCTTCCTATCCCTGTGGGTAACCTCCCTCAGGCCTCACCAGTGGCCCAAGCCCCAGGGAAGAGGCAGGGTAAGAGGCAAAAGACACTCTTCTTCCTTCTCCCTGCCTGCCTTTTGGACTTGGGTGACCCAAGTGAGAATCAAGTTACCAGGGACTGGGTGGGGAACAGGCCTTGGATCACCACCTGCCAGGCCACTCCTAGGCTCAGAAGTCTGAGGATGCTGCTCAAGTCTCCAGCGCCTGCTACTTCCCTCAGGAAGCAGTGGGGGTCCATGGGGGTACACGGCTGTAGACTAGGGAAGGATTACTTGGTTGTCTAGTAGGCATTGGCCTTTCGTACTCTTGGTATTAAATCCCTCCATACGTAAACAGCCCTGGTTATCTCAGTAACACTTCCAGCACCCTGGTAGATTTAACTCCCAACTTGAAGGGCTTTGTGTGTGTGTGTGTGTGTGTGTGTGTGTGTGTGTTGTGTATGCATCTGTGAGAAGGGTTGACCAGAGAGTTCAAAGACAGTGGATTCCAGGACCACAGTGAATTTGGGAAATCGGTTTCCATCACATAAGAAGAACATTATACCTGTGAGTCACATTTGCACCTTCTTACACTTGTCCCACACGGAAGCTTATCAGTGTTCACAAATGGAGGAGAGGGAAAGGCCAATGCTGTGTCTATTTTTAAGGTGGGGAAACAAGCCTGTGAAGGGGCTATGGCTTGATCCCGTTGCATGTGCAGGGCTGGATGTGATGGAGAGGCTTGATCCTCTCAGAAGCTATCACTAATGTGCCTTAGGGCGTCACGGGGACACACGCAGGCAGGGGACCCACTCGGAAGGCTGAGTCAGATTTGTCAAGTCTAGCCTTTCCTGGGTCATTGTGAGGGTGAGTACACAGGAGGGGCCAATGCTGTTGCTCCAGGGCCAGCTGGGCCCTGAGTCACAGCAGGACCTTGAAGCCAGAAGTTTAAGAACAAGTGGTGCCCATTGTCATTGTCCCAGGACAGTGACAGGTGGTGGCTGCTTCTCCATCAGCACTTGCCCCAAGGCAAGTCCTGAGGTGGTGGGGGGCTGGAATGAGGGCCTTGTGAGTGCCTGGGAGAGCATAGAGCTATTTTTGCCTCAGAGGGGCTTTAGAGAAGGGACCACAGCTACCCCAAAGGTCCCTAAGAGCCCCGCATCAGCATCTGGGACTTATCTGGTTGCCAAAGCAGCCTGTAAAAGCTAGAGCTGTCCCCTCCAGCATCTTTCAGTAGGTTCCCAGTAAAGGCAATGGGTCCAGCCAGGGACAGCACTTCCTGAGGCCCCAGTGTAATTTCTGGAGTGGGGGGAGCCTTTCAAGCCATGCTCTTCTCTCAAAGGTTAGGGGGGGTGATGGGTCAAGGAAGGTGGTGAGCGCACCCTTATGGGCTCTGGCTGGGACAGGCGATTAGAGGGCTGGGAGGAGGGGGGCAGTGCAGTGATGGGAAGACGCTGGGGTCTGACAGGAAGATGAAATGGCTAACAAGACCTTAATTGCCTGGCCTGAAGGTCTGGTGGTCTGGCATACACTGGTCCGCACACCATAGTGCTTGACCTCAGGTACATCCCTGCTTAGCCTCTGTTTTCTCACCTGTGATGGATGAGTGGCCTTGGGCCTAGCTCCTGGGTCCACGTTGGACGCCTGTCTGCCTTCCCCTCACCTTCCCGGCAACCAAAGCCTGGAATGTCACCCCACAGGTATGGGAGGGTAGGACCCAGGGCCCAGGTCTCTCCGTCTGCTGAGTCCGCTGGCTCTGAAGTGGACGCGGCCGCTTTAAGGCACGGTGACCCCCACGGCACCCGCGGGCGGGGCGGGGACAGTGCGGGCGTCCGCGGCACCAGCGGAGGCGAATGCGAGGGAGGTAGTGCGCGGCGTCCGGCCCCAC